GTGTCTCGAACGGACCATACAATTTCCGCGGCGCTTCTTCACTTTCGCTACCACCACGACGTTTTCCACGTTATTAGAGCGAGTCATTAGCGATTAGCCATCTAGAAAGTTAGATTTAGTTTGTGCCACGTTAGAGAAGCATCGTCCGCATTAGCGAGCACACGAGAGATCGTAGGGTATGCTGCGATCTCGAAAACACGTCATCATCAACACGGTGGTATACGTAAGTCGAGACGAACAGAAGGATGAATACACGATCGTTTATTATTTCTCAATCGTTTTCTCATTTTCTTCTTTTTCGTTTTATTCTCTCTCTCTCTCTCTCTCTCTTCTTTTTCTCTTCTTTTCTTAACCTCGCCATTTGAGTTAAAAAAAAGATTCACAATTTTTGAAATTTGAAAATATTTGTTTCAATTGTGGAATAATAGATAAGAAAGTGGCATGGTTAAGAAACGAATATACATATTCTGTTCTAATCTCTTTCATTTACACGTTCACACGATAATTCACACGCGTTGGTTTCCTCGCTGTGCACCACCTCGAATTATTTTTCACAAGGATCTTTCTTCGAGTCGAAGATCCTCCATTTCTAACGAACACTCTGTCTGCCCACCTCTTCTATCTTCTATCTCACTTCTGTCTGTGCATCGACCACCCCTCCGGTCAAACACAAACCACCACCGAAGACGAGAAACCGAAATGCTAGACTTTACAGCAATCTTAGATCTTCGCATTCGCACAGTCTCTCTCACCGACTCATCATCACCGAAAAAAAGAAAAAAAAGAAAAAAAAAAAAGGAATAACACACGTCACCCCGATGTTATGGATTTATGAACACCATCACCGACTTGCCTGTTCTCAGCTCTCGCCCATTTCTCTTCGCCACTATTATTCTTATTACACTACACATAGTTTTCGCATGGCTTGCATTCCGTTTTTATTGTATTACTTGTCAACGAGGCGGGGATTCGTTCTCGAGATTGGATTTCTTCTTCGGTTCTATTGAAATTTGTGAATATTCTCCCCCAAAAAACAAACAAATTTCGAAATAATACCCGATATATATAATTCTTTTTGTATTGAATTGATAAAGAAGTGATCATAAATGTTGACACGGCGTGCAATTGCAGATAAAGAAAGATTAATCACTCGTTTAAATTCCATTAAAATTAAATCGATATTCTCGCGATTTCTTCACTCTTTCACATTATTATTAGACGAACCCTGGATAAAAAATCAATACACCCTTTTCTATTTTTAAAATCTATACACACACACACCGTATCGTAATACAATAATATATTTTTTACAGTCACAGTTCGAGAGTGAAGATTATTATATTTATCTTTTCCAATTGTTTATCACGAGTTGAAAATTTAAGCCCCCCCCCCCCCTGTTGAGAGCGAAGCCGATGCGAAAGGGACAAGTTCACGCCTCCTCCGCTTTCAACCGCAAGCATGAAAACCGATCTGTTTTCTTAGATGCGTGTTTGTCGCATCCCATTCCGCTTGTGCATGCCTGTGCATCGACACAACCCACGCTTTCTCGGATGCCGAGCCGAAATGTACCGAAAAGCCGAAATAACCGAAGGGACGCTTCGTTTTAAACGTGAGAGATGCTTTTCTTTTTCTTCTTTTTTTTCTTTTTTTTTTTCAGCGATTCTCTTCGACACTTTGATCGAAATCGAGAATGTATATACCGCCTTTTAAAAAGGCGTGTCACGCGCTCTTGTCCGAGAAACAAGAATAAGGGATAAGATGTGTGAAATTTCCCTTCCTTTCTTTTTTTTCTCTCTCTCTCTTTTTTTATCCCTGGTTTGAAACTCGAAATGAAACTCGATGGATGATATCGCGGATGAAATGTCGAGTTTCGAGATGCAACAATTGTCTCTGTCTATTATCTGTCTGTGTATATATGTCTGCCATCTATGCTCTCCCCTGCATCCACTTGTATTTATTATCCACTTCCATATTTCTCTGTCTGGTTTTGATAGAGGTTTACAGGGTGAGGTAATGTGACGTGTTATTCTTGATTATTCTTGTTATCGGTTACAATCATTTTTCCGTTTATCAATTGACAATTAATCGATAAAAATATTTTCCATCTCTACGTATCTTTTATTTATCGTCGGGTCACGAAAACTCGATGAGAAAAAATCAGATCATATCCATGTTAAATTAATCCATGATAAATAAGAAAAAGAAATGATTGATCGATTGATAGCGAAAATAATCGAGGCGATATTTTATACGCTCACAGTCACCCTGTATACGAACGAAAGAAGAATCGAAAGAAGAATTGTTGCTAATCATTGCTGATTTCAGAGTACACGTATTGAAATATTGATATATTTCAAGGAATTTTTCTTCTCCCCTCCAGGTTTATCTCGATTGTTTAGATCTTTTCTCTCCCTCTCTTTCTCTCTTTCCTCTTTCTCTATTTGCGAAAGTGTGGCTTATTTTTTTTTAATTGGTAGATCGCACTCAAGGGTGCAATTACCCGTATCCTTCGAGGAGAAGGATCGATCTGTCTTCATCGACGTTTTGCACGTTCGCCACACCGAACTGCACCCTCCAGCACCTTATGGATTATTTCATCCCTGGATAATTACCCTGTTATTCTCGTGGAAACAATGGATTTTGAGAGGGCAGGGTGTAATAATTATTCCATCGATTGGAATTCAACATTTTCAAGATTTCTCGAGGATATTTTTTGCAATTGGACTCTGACTTGAGAATGAAATTACTCGAATAATTTTCAACGCAGCGTTCAATCGCAAATGGAGAAAATGTTCTTTCCAGTTAATAATATATTATCTCGAAAGTGAACTATTCGAGAATATATTATTCTTAATAATTAATAAATTGGTGGAGAATCTTCGAATCGAAAACTTTTGAAATTTTGAAAAAAAAAAAAAACAATCACTCTGTAAAAGATTCGTCGAATTTAAAAAAGAAAGAGATATCTTCTTCTATATCTAATCGTTTATCGTTTGACAAATTACCTCTCAAGACCTGCTTCATCGCACTTCGAACGTTTCAATTTTTCGACAGGAATGATTTTTCACCTTTTCTCTCTCTCTCTCTCTCTTTCTCTTCGTGTGAACGCCACCCCTTTCTCCACACCCCCTATTTCAAAGAGAACCCGAGTCGATACATATATATGATACTCGATCGAGAGACCAAATACGGAGAAAGAAGATAAAATATTCGGTGCTGTTACAACTCTCTACTTCTATTTCTTACTTTATCTATCGTCTGTCTTTATCTATCTCTATCACTCTCATCTTCCGTTAGTTAGACATTTTAGAATTGAACGAGCTAGAGAGTACGTTTTTTTTTATTTTTTTCACGCAGCCTTAGTAAATATTTATCATTATAATAATTTTTGTGGACTAGCTGGAACTCTGAGGCATTTGTAATGGAGACAAAAAAAACGAAAAATGTAATGGAATAATCGATTAAATGCTAAAAAAAAAAAAAGGAAAAAATGTACGCTTCCTTTCCTTAAATTTGAATCGCTTGAATGTTTATATCGCTTTGAATGTCGGCTTGATTGATTTATTTGACTACGACACAGCATCGAACGCGATAATTATTCGAAAATTTGATTCTTAGAGTACATTTGACCCGTAGTGACCCTTTCACGCTCGACGTATTATATAAAATTGGTAGTTGAACGAATCGATAAATTGGATACAGCCAGTCGCAAAAAATCTTACGGATTTAAATTTAAGATTTTTTTCAATGAAACTTTGTGCGTTTGTATTTCGAAAAATTTCATTTGAAACGAAATTTCGATTCGGATTGGAAGAGCAACGCTTTAAAATGCGTAGAAAAATTTTTGTAATTGACTGTATTACATATATTTTCATCATATATATCATTCACACGTAATATATTTAAAATGCATATTAGATACTGCTAGTTTTAGTGTTGATATATTACATGTAAGAAGATGTATAAGAACATCAAAGGAACAAAATGTGTCATCGACTAAGAATAAGAGAATTATTCGATTCGGCTAAATATCCGTGGTTAAAAATTTTCTTCAAAACAAAGAAAAAAAAAGTCGCGTTCGATGAAAAATCGAGCTTTCGATTGGCTGCGATCTGCGCAAATCAATGCGAATCTCGTTCAAGATTCGGTGTTCCAAATTTAACAGCCAAGGAGTCCAGCTACTTTGCATTAATATACGATCGCGATCAAGGTGCTTCGAAATCGTGACATTTGGCCTCGAGCCGATTCAGAAAGCAAATAACGAAAAAGAAGTTAATCAACAACGCGTTGAAATTATAAATCGAAGTCTCGTCGTCCTCGCAAATAGCTCTCCAGTTTTAACGAGTCTTTGTCTTTTAGTACAATCGTGCGAAACCTCTAAGTGGAATAATTCCTCTCGAGGAGGAAAAGGAGAGCACGACTACCGATAAAGTTTCACCGATCCAGATCAGATACTGGACGATTATTCGTTAACTCTTTGCTATTCTCGAATAGCAAACGCGTGGAGGATGCGAGAAAACTTGGTCTCGAAGTTGCACGAAACTAATTAATCTCTTGGGAAGTTAAAGGAAACGTTTCGATCTTTGAAAGCGTAGATGGTAATATTATATAAACGAAATATCAACTTGCTGGAACTTTCGTATTTAATTTAAATAAGTTTAACGGAAATAATAGTAGATGTTAATTATTATTAGAAGAGGGGAGAAAAATCAAACGAAGATAATTTTATTAAAGATAAAATTTCCAAAGGATCTTTGCTCTCTGATTGGCTCGAATCTAAATATTACGAGAAAATATAAAGATAAAAAAAAAAAGAATAAGACATCAGCTTGATTGAATATTAAACGCGCGTTGGCTGGTCTCTAAGTCTTTTTGTATACAAAAAAGATAAAAGAACGAAGAATGTAAAAGAATATATTTTATATATATATATAATTTAAAAAAAAAAAAAAACGAAAAACTGTCGCATATTCGTGATGTATGTGTGTATTGTTGTACAGAGGATAAGAAGGGCGGCGTCGACCGGAGCAGCACGGTCATTGCCAAAGAACCCGAAGGTAAACCTTGCATATCGAAGGCCGAGAAACGCGTAATACGCGTTTCGACGTCTCGTGTTCATGTGTATACATATATATATATATACTACGTACCTCCGTATAGATTTACATATATATATTTATATACGTATATATTTCCACGTGTGTTACGTGTAGATGTCCTCCGGTTCAGACCTGGCTTCTCCTGTTCCAATTGCACCGTGCGATCGAAGTTGCTTCTCTGGCTTCTGCTCGCGTTCGTTTTAAAAATATCCAAGTTGATCGTAATTTTCTTCCCCACTTTTTAAACGATCATATAATTTTTGAATCGTTCCTCCGAGCACCTCCGAGGTCCCCTCTCGTCTCAGAAAGAAAAGAAATACCTCTACTTTACATTAAATTCTCGGTCGAAAAGCTCAGAAAAATGTCTCGAAGAATTAACGAGCTTTCCCCTTTGTTTTGCATTCGAGAGGGGACACGAGGGGGAGCCACGAACAGGGGAAGCCAATGCCACTAGGGGCTCAGTGACGAGCTTCGAGCTTTTGCACCCCCTGTCTGTTCCAGCTTCCGCTAACTCGTACTTCGGATTTACCGTCTCTCCAGCCTCCTCTCGTTCCACCAACTAATAAGGATTTTGCGTGCGTTGCCTCCTCCCCCTGATCGGTCCGCGAATCAATCGGTGAACACCCCCCCCCCCTTTCTCCACCCCCATCACAAGGATCAATCAATCGTCCCTCCCCGTTCGTCGTGCACGATCGTGTAAACGTAAAACGCCTATGTGTCCTTAATTGTGGTGTTTGAATAAAAAAAAAAAAAAAAAAGAATATATATCGTTGTTATTTATCTAACAACTTGGTCAAGGGGTTTCACGTGATGATCCAACGTTGGTTGGAAATCGTGGAAATTTATTAATGGATTTTGTTGTAGGTGGTGAAATGGTTTGTGAAATTTTGAGTAAGGGGATGATATTTGTAATGTTGCTTGGATTTGGATACACGTTCCCGGAAAAATCGAACGGAATAACGAACACGTGTCGTTACGCGGCAAGGATGTAATGTGCGAGACAGAGAAATCAGCAGTGTCTGTTGGCGTTTGTTTCTATGCATATGGGCTATGAATATTTATAATATATCGTGGCCAGATTTAATTACGGTACACTTATCGATCGATACACACATATATAAGCATGGAACAATTATTCCTAGAGTATTTTTACTTACTTCACCGCCATTAGTGTTATTTTCGAATTAAATTGTAAGGCGAAGGAAGTAAGTAATATCAGAAATCTATCTAGAAATATAGAAAAATATGTATGTATAATTTATCGAACGATATTTACAACGTATATATATTATATATCAATTTTGTTGAGAAACAGAAATTTCACAAATCATCGTGAGTATAGCATAATTTATTCGTTCCAAATATTCAATCAAAATTGTGCAAAGATCACGTGATTCCCACCTAAGAGAACAAACAGATTCGCGGCCTCGTGAAAACGAAAGCGCCTTCCCTTGTTTGCTTGTTTTCCATCCAACGTGTGTAATTCAACGCTCGATTTACGAAACGAGAGCGTGATTCTCGACACCGGAAGAAGCGTACGCCGACCGATGTAGCGACGAGAAAATTAGCGTTCGAGAACGTCCGATCAGACATCTAGCGGATCTACTGCTCCCGAGGCGAGTAGAAACAACCTGTTTAATGTCGCGATAATATATCTCGATTACAACCACTTTTTATCACGCCACTGTGTATATTGTTTAGACGTACAATTAGACGTTGTTACGTAGGATTGTTGTTCTTGCGAACGTTATGCTGTTTAGGAAATTGAATAATATATATATATATATATACGTGTATATTGTTATATCATCGAGAAGCTGGCTGTTTCTTCTTTTTTTCTTTCTTTCTTTTTTTTTTTTTTTGTTAAATTTTATTGTGATAAAAAGAGATTACTATACTTTTATCTTCATAATTTTTTTTAATATATTTGTCGAGATTATCATATTATTAATGAGCAATATTGTGAAAGTTTTATTTGTTTGTTTGTTTTAACCTAATCGTACATAAATTATCAAGCTGGAATTTTTTATATATGTTGATTCTGAGTATATTCATTCAACTGGATTAATTTCTTAATCTGGTTAACAATGAATTAACTGATTAACAGCAAGAAGTAAAATCTTCGCATCATTGCTCAGAGTGATAACATTGATGATATATTAAAAAATCTTTTTTCTTTTTTTGTAAATAATTATTATTTTTTTTTTTTTTACTTTCGAAACGATTTATCTTTACGTAATTAATTGTTTACGATCACGGATTCGTCGTGATCGAGATTAAAATGTCGTCATGGACGAGGAGCCTGTTGGACGAGACGTCTATGGCAGCTTGGCAACCTTGAACGATAAGTAGATCCAGTATCCAGTAAGCTTTAGCAAGTTTTAGTCGCCTGTGTTTGATCGAATAGATAGCCTGGATTCTCAGAGTTTTGTTGCTTAGTCGTTTGATCGTGTTACACACGTAGCCAAAATTCATCGTAGAAGATTCTCTTCTTCACAAGCATTTTGCGATCGGTGGTTCCAACGTTTCGAATGAAATCATCATCGATTAGTCTCTCGTTAGATTCGATATTAATCCGTGATCATTTTGATTGAAAGATATTGCATTGCAATCTTGAATGAATACTTTTTCTCATCGATTAGTTTCTCTTTTAGAGTTCATTGGAATGGCTGTATTCTTCTTCTAGTCGGGTTAAGATCGGTTGCGGCTGCTCAAAGTTACCTCGAATAAGAACATCGTGTATAGAAATCATCTGTGTAGAAATCTCGATTATTACACGGATATATTATGCAGCATGAAAAACTGTGCCTTTAGAACATTACGTGCCTCTTAACACATTGCGAATCGGACACTTTCATTGCCGAAAGTATTATATTTTTGCATCAAATATTTTTAAGTTTGTTGCCACTTGTCATTCGTTTAAGATTTTTTTTTTTTTTTGCATATCAAACGCGAGATAATTTTCCAAGAATTTTTATAATGAATGCCGATACGAATCTTCGATTTCGTAATGTGTTGAACTAATCGTGTTCTTACGAGAGAAAATAAGTTGATCGAGCAGTGTAGATTAGAGATCAAGATTTTGAAATTGTGTGTATTACAGAAACGCGTGTACAATTTTTAATGTTTTCAAACACGTATGCATTCGTTTAATTCATACGATTAAAAAAAATCTCGAGATTTTAAAATAAAAAAGATTGTTTCTATCAATGGAGATTTATCTAGTCAATGTATCTAAATTTGCTGATAATAAGCACCGTGGAATAGCATAGAGCAGATAGTTGTTAATTTAAAATTATATGTTATATACGTTAATTATTCATCTTTGGGGAGTCAATTTTAAAGATCGAGACAAGCAAAAAAGTTGATATACAAAATTGTTGACTTTTTTTTTCTCTTATTATCGATCAATATTTTTGTATATCTATCTTTTATAATTATTTTGCCCTCTCTTAGAATCGAGCTCCACCAAATAGTATGAAATAAAAATTTCTAGCATAGATATAGTCTGTTCGAAATCAATTGGCGTTCGAAGCAGCGCTCCCCACCATAGCTCGAGCGTACCCCCACCACTCTCGACCAGCCAGAGATTAGCAAGGCGGCATGGTGGGGGAAGGTAGCTGCGTTCCTCTAGCTTACAGCCACACCGTGACCTTGAGCAGTCAAAATCTCTAACCTGCACTACACAGCTTCAACTGTGTATCGGCCGGATAAAATGGAAAAATTCCGTACGACGATGACGGCGAATTTCAAGGCGTGGTTCGATCTCGCGGGAATAAAATCTCGAGGGAGAAAACTCGAATATCGTCGGATCTCTTGAAGAAGCTCGCGTGGCGCGCTGTCAACGGAAATACCTGGCCGCTTGGCACCGCTTGAAAATAGATTGGCAGCAGTCCGCGTCGTTCGTTCGGCCATCCTCGAAGCCGGCCGTGCGGAGCGCAATAAAACCGAGTCGAACTCTTCGAGATTTTCCTCCGTTTCGCGCGGGACTAAGGGGCCTTCGAGATCGTTGCTCGATCCGTCACGTTGACGGTGGGGAAAGGGATAATAAGTGTTCGAAAGTGATAAATGCGTTTCGAAGGGAAGAGTGGTAGGTGAAGTCCTCGAAATGTCGGCCACCGCTGGCTTGCCGAGTTCCTCGAAGCAGCCTGATAATTACGGTGAGCCATAAACACATTTTACGTGACTTTAATCGCGCCAGGAGGATTTTTTTTTTTGATGGAGTTCGTTTATTTGGAATTACGATTGGATAACTCGACTTAACTGAACGTACAGGTGGTTTCGTAATGTAACCCAAACCGAAACCTATCCCATTATTTTCACGTTTTTTTCCCCTGGAATTTTTTACACAACACATTTTTATTATATTTATAAATACGTTTTAAAAATACGAAAGGAAAAATTTTTCTCGAAAATCCAATCTAATCGAAACGGTCTACATATTTTCAATTAAGCTTGCTTTTCGAATTTTCGTGAAAGAAAATTCAAATTATCCGAATTGTACGGAATCTCTTCGAAGTTTCGCAACTCGCCCAAAAAAAGAAACGCTCCCTACTCTAATAAATTCCGCTCCAAAAACAACTAAACGAGCCGTGCCCCTGGCACAGGGACAAGAACAACTTGGTCCGGGCGGGGGATTTCGTATCGACATTTTCGCGTAAGATTTTCGGATGCGAGGCCGTGTGTCGGATGACTAATGTGCGGCGGCGTCCCACGCGAAACGAACTTCCGCCTCGAATCGAAGTGAATCGTGTTGGGTCAGGATCGGCTGCCAGCCTTTTCCAAATCTATTTTCAGCCGCGAAACCGTGTCTATGTCGGGCGAGAATCTGTCGTGGCTGTGCGTAACTATTCTCGTTCCACTTAGGCAAAGGTCGTCGCTGCTGCCACGTCGCAGAGGAACGTTTCCCGCTTGGAAACGTCTCGTTCGTTAACTCGCGCGTATCGTCGACGATCCTCGAACGCAGATGAGGTTGAAACGAAAAGCGACGGAGTTCACCTCGTGCAAACGTATTTTTTTTTTGCTTTTCTCTTACTTTCTTTCCTCCTCCTTTTTTCTTCTTCTTTTTTTCTTCTTCTTTTTCGTGGAATTGACAACTACAGGATTGCTATGGTGAAACCAGAGAGAAGGAAGTGCGTTAAGTCAAAAAGTTGGACGAAAAGTTATTAAGAAATATCATCGATGAAGTGGAAGAAGGATCGAAAGAGTGATGATTTAACGCAAATTTTTCACGCTGGTTCTCACGCTTGTTGAACTCGCTTCTTCTACTAACAAGGAATGCTCTCTCTCGATTAACCTTGAAACCATCTTCCTCCTCTTCCAATTGATGAAAATTCTCGCTTCAACTCCTGGCGCCAATGGTACTTCTTTTTTCTAATCCTCTTTAACTCGATCCTCTCGATGTTCGAGCACATTCGAAAACAATTGTGGACGGAATGGAAATACGACTAACATCTAACGAATCGTCTTCTTCCCGATCTAAATAGACCCGATCCAGCGATCACGGTCTACTAAAACGTGTCCTCCTCCTCCTCCTCCTCTTCCTTCTCCTCCGCGCGAGAGGGTGTTTCTCGCGCGGTGCCTCGTGTTGAGTTTTGGACAATTTTTGGCCTGGTGTTGTTAATCAAAATCCGAAGGTTGGTCGTTTCTAATCGGTGAAATTCGAACTCTTCGACAAAGGCCCCGCCTCCCAGGGCACGCCCCCGAACAGTCCCGCCGCCGTGTCCGCGTTCTCCAGGGTAGTCGGGGCGGCGAGGGAGACGAACAAGCAGAACCAGGTTCAGGGAAACCCCCTTGGATTAGCCGCGGTACTCCTACAGGGAGCACAAGGTAAACCGGGTGGTGAGAGTCGAGCCGAGAGGGAAGCACGGTAGAATCGATACAATTTTAGGGCTGATTTATTTTCCGACTTTTTAATGCATTTCGAATACCTTCCCTGCTTTGCTGGAGATTCGTTGGAGAATATTTATTTCTCCAAGGAAAGCGAGAAGAGGGAATAATTTATAAGAGGGGGGGGGGGAAGTGTGTATTGGTATTTTAAGCTCTGCGAAAATTGGATTTTTATTTTCTCTTATCGGCTCGAACGATTTAAAAATGGATTCAACCTTTTGGCAAAGTAAATTTTGGAAATTCATGAAAAATTGTACGAGTGCAAAGCTACTTTCTAAGAACAAGCTTTGTATTTTTTCTTCCAAGTTGGCAATATTGTTTCTTAGAATTTTTTCCTTCCCTGTCTTCCAAAGAGATTCTTATCTTTAAAATTTTACGAATTCCATAAAATGTTCGGGTTACGTGTTTATAGTTCGTTCGGTCGAGAAGCAGTTAAATTTTAAAACCTGTGCAAGATATAAGAATAGAGAGGGTTAATATAGCTGCAGCATGTAATATCCCCGTGTCCTGTTTAACATTTTACGAGCGGCATAGTCGTCGGAAATAATTGCTCTTGGCGTCCCTTTTACGGCATTTTCTCTCCGCTCGGTGATGGTGTGACCGAAATGGGACAAGAATGGCGCGAAATATCAGCCCTCACCGTTTCTACCGTTCTTCCGGCTCTCGGTGGAGCAAAGTTTTTGTCACTTCCGCCTACGCCAGCAATCGATCCTTAATTCTCATCATTTCGAAGACAAGAAACAAGGATAAATGAGAGAAAACACGAAAGCAGATCCGTACACGAAATATATATATATATACGTATTTTTATATACTTCGAACACAAAGAAAGGAAACATACTACGTATTTTTCGAAGGAACACATTCAATTATATACGCACAAATTCAACGAGAGATACAACAAGCCTTTTCGATCCTCGAAAATGAAAAAAAAAAAAGGGGATGGAAAGTCATTTCTACGAAGCCTGTCCATAACAATAACGATACTCGTTTCAACAAAAGTTTTAACGTTAACGTTCGAACGAACGAACGAAGGAACTCGATTCGAATTAAGAACAAAAAAAAAAAAAAAAGGAAATCGAAGAAAAATGAAAAGAAATTAATGATGAACGAAGAAACGACGAAAATAATCTTACAATCGTTGTATTATAAATCATCCTTTTACTCTTTTTTTTTTTCTTTCTTTCTCACGTCTTAAAGAATAATCGGGGATAATCGAAACTTCGTCGATTCTTTCTCTCTATCTACCTCTCTC